GTATTCTCTTGATTTCTGTCATTGATTTATTTTGTAACTTTTATTACTTTCTTCCTTCCTTCTACATACCTTAATATTCATTTGTTCTTTTTTCTAGTTTTTCAAGTCACTGATTTGAGCTTTTTCTTCTTTCCTGATTTAAGCCTGTATTGCCTAACAGTGTTTTTGCTGTGTCACATGGCTTCTAATAGCTTGTCTCTTTATTCTCATTGTTTTGAGGAATAATTTTATTTCTTATTTTGTCTTCTCTTTCATTCCATTGTTATTTAGCTGTATGTTATTCAGTCTTCAAATATTCAAGCTTTTTCAACTTTCCTTCTGTTGTTAATTTCTACCACTGTGTTTTAGCACAATTTAAGGCATTGTGTTCTGCAAAGGTACTTGACATAATTTCTATTTATGTAATTTCTGGATGCTTGAATTGTGTTCCAGCATTTGATCTATCCTGCATAAATGCACTGAAGAAGAATGTGTACTTAGCTTTTTGGTTGTGAAAGGTGGGCCCTGTACATGTCTTTTGTCTAGTTCTCCCAATTCCTCACGTAAGGCTCTTGTTTGGTTGATAAATCCAATGATGCAAAGGTAGTAGTAAAGCCTTCCACTAATCTTGTGCTTCCTCTTGATAACTACATACGCCACTACCCCAATATGTTAACAAATAGCACATAGATAAATTCTCCCTATCATATTGCAATTGAAGTAACATTGACTTTTAAAGAGTTAATAAAAATGATGTTTTTTACATATTTAAAATCAATGTAGCAGGGCCAGAGTGATAGTACAGCAGATAGGGCATTTGCCTTGCATGTGGCCGACCTGGGTTCAATCCCCAGCATCCCATAAGGTCCCCCAAGTACCACCAAGAGTAATTCCTATGTGCAGAGCCAGGACTAACCCCAGAGCCTCTCTGAGTGTGAATCAAAAAAGCAAAAATAAATAAATACAGCAAAGAGGGGTTTCATGTAAATTTCACATAAATTTTCTATATGTTTAAATAATCTACTGTAGCACTGTAGCATTGTCCTCCCATTGTTCATCGATTTGCTCGAGTGGGCCCAGTAACATCTCCATTGTGAAAATTATTATTACTGTATTTGGCATATCGATTACATCATGGGTAGCTTGCCAGGCTTTACCATGTGGGCAAGATACTCTCGTAGCTTGCCACGCTCTCCGAGAGGGGTGGGGGAATCAAACCCGGGTCGGCCTGGTCAGCTGTGTGTAAGGCAAATGCCCTACCCACTGTGCTATTGTAAATAATCTACATTTAAAGTGCTGAATGTGGTTTTCCAGAATGTTTGAAATGTGTATGCTTCACACTTTTCAAATAATGGATACTTTAAAAAAATTCAACTTGGTGAAAATCAAAACAAGAAACTAGATAATATTAAATTGAAATTTAGGCAAATTGTATAGATACACCATATGTTAGGAAAAATAGGGAGGATTTTTTTAGGGAGTGATAGCACAGCGGTAGGGCGTTTGCCTTATGCACAGCCAACATGGCCGACCTGAGTTTGATTCCTCCACCCCTCTCAGAGAGTCCGGCAAGCTACCGAGAGTATCTTGCCCGCACGGCAAAGCCTGGCAAGCTACCCGTGATATATTCGATATGCCAAACACAGTAACAACAAAGTGTCAAAAATGGAGACGTTACTGGGCCCCGCTCGAGCAAATCAATGAACAACGGGAGGACAGTGACAGGTACAGTGACAGATATTAGTGATGAGGCAAATTTTTAAATGTATGGTTTGTTTCATATAGTTTTACTGAACAAAAGAGATAAAGGTCCTCCCCTTGATCGTCGATTTGCTCGAGCGGGCCCAGTAACATCTCCATTGGAGACTTTGTTGTTACTGTGTTTGGCATATCGAATACTCTCGGCAGCTTGCCGGGCTCCCCGAGAGGGGCAGAGGAATCGAACAAAAGAAATGAATGTATAATATTTAAATACGAAGTAAAATTTAATGCAATATATTTTAGATGCCAGAATTGAAAACTTAGTAATGTAAATGAGAATACGTTGTATTAAATTATTTGAATTCATTTAGATAGATTAATATTATATAGCAATCAGTAATCACAGATTGACTTTTATTGATTTGTTTTCTGATAATTCCATTTGCCATTTCTTTAAGTTTTGTTGGAGCAAGTAATATGAAATAAATTTGTTATTTGCCTGTTTATGGAAAGCTGGGAGTTAAGAGGGAAGATGGGGATATTGGTGGAGAGAAGGGGATATTGGTGGTAGGATTAATGTTGGAACATTGTATGTGTGAAAAAACTGTTATAAACAACTTTGTAAAACATGTCCCAATAAAAATCAAAAGAAAAAACAAAAATGGAAGATATTAAAAATAACAAAATGTAAATTAGTTTCCTATAAGTTATTTGGTGTCAGGGACATATTCATTTTTCTCTTCTGTGCTAGGAAGTCTAAAACAGTCCCAAAGACATAGCACTTAACATGTATTATACAGGAATGAAATATAAATTCTGGAAGTTACCCAAGGTGTCTGTGAAATATAAAAACATGGATGGATTCAAGCAATAGAAAAGAATCTATGGCTGAAAAAATATAACTTGAAAAATATCAAATACCATTAGACTATTTTCAGAATATGTTGCCTATATAAGTAGCTTCAGATTAATTTCCAGATATACTATTATCATAATTACCTTTTAAATTTTAGTTAAAATTTAAAGTGTTCTCCATAAATACCAGTATTATGTAATAATTGTTAAAATGATTAGTTGAATTTTGAAAAATAAATTATAAGTCTGAAAAATATTCTGTATTTGAATTTTTGACTTTTCATTTCTGTGGAACCATAATTATTTTGGATTCAAGTAACTTGGCCTCATATTTTTTTTCTGAACTCACTTCTTATACATATTAAACTTCTTAGTATATGGAAATTTTATTGTTAGTAATTTTAACAAAATGCTCTTTTGGAAAAGAGGGAAATAAAAATAGCAACTCAGTACAACCTTACAGTTGTATAAATCTAAATTAATGGCAAGATATAAAGACTGTAGTAATAAATGAATGTTTCTTGCAGACAAAGTGCAAATAGCACGTTGTTTATTGGAGAATTAGTATTACTAATCCAAGTTCTGCCATATATGTTTTACTTTTTGTTCCTCAGTAGAAAGAACAGTGTTGGTTTAAAATTAGAGAGGAAGATAGGAGTCATTTTAGAATAAGACCATCTACTGAACTTCATTCTTCAGGAAAATGCTCAGACACGGCTGAACATACTTGCTTAGAATGGGGTAAAAAGTTAGTTTTCCAAAACATTTTTTTCAATGTCATAGACAACGAAATGCCAGGTTTTCTGAAATTCCCACAGCATTTAGTATACCTCTATAATTAATCTAGTGCTCAATGCCCATGATGGTAGGGATCACATTACCATAGGGAACAGGGAGACTGATCTTTCAAACTGAATCTCTGCAGCTGACTTGACAGGAGAGAAGAGACTGTTGACATGCTGTTATGATGTGTTAATGATCATGCAGGCAAGTGCCATTTGTTGTCAAATTCATAGTCTTTTTGACCTGGTCTAAAATTATTTATCCATGAACAATGGAGAGATGATCATCTAGTGGATTAAAAAGCTGGCTAGTGCCATTAATACCAGAAGGTAAATTTTGGAAAGTTGATCATACCTGAGAACAACTAATACTTTCCCTGAGTATTTTCATGAAAGTCTCTATGTGGTATGCTTTGTTTATGGCATGTTTCAAGTGTTCTTGAGCAATTTTCCATTCTCAACAATCTATTGGGGGGGGGGGGGTGGAAGAGGGTGGATGGACCACACCATATCTGCTCTAGAATTGCTCCTATCTCTGTGTACAAGGGACCATTATGTGGTGCCAGGTGTCAGCTGCAACAAGGCAAGCTCTCTACCTGCTATACCATCTCTTTGGCCCCTGAATACTTTCTCACATAATGAATGGGTATTATGAGGCTGGGTATTCTGTGCTTATCTTAAGAAAGTTTTTCTAATGTCCCCTGGCTGTAATTTTAAATTACATTTTTTTCCAAAGACCAAAAATTAATATGATGAATTAGTCCCTTTTGTTTTGCTTTTACAAAAAAAAAGATGAATTACTCCCTTTTGCTTTACTTTTACAATTGGTCTTCAAAGTGACTCATTCAAGATGTTAGAATTAATATATGGATGGAAACTTTTAATGACATCAAATAGTGTTAATTTTGCTTTCCAATAGTCCTATTAAACTCATTTTTTAATAAAATCATTTCAGGTTCATATAAGACCTGGTAGAAGCAGAAATATAATTCGCTATTTTCTCATCAGATTAGCAGGAATTGAAGTGGCATCTTTCCCCTGTGAAAAAAGAAATATAGTCTGTTTGGAATTATCTATCATTTCAGTTATATATACAGAAAGTGGATGGTGCAGCTTGCCTTCAGTATTGCTAATTGTATGGAACTGGACAGAACTCTCTTCTCACTTGGCTTTTGGAAGATTACAAAGACAGGCTTACAATGGACATTTACTATGTTTCTCTTGGGAAAGATGATTGACCCCTCCAAATGAGCAATACAGATCTACTGTGGAATCCTGGAGTGCTTGTTCTATGTTTAGATTGTATATATAGAATTGTTGGAATTTTTTTTTAACACACATCAAAGAATTGAGTGATTCCCCTGTCTTAGTGTGTTAGCATGGGGGAGTAGTAATAAAAATCACTCCTCCCACTACTCCTCAATGTTTGTGATTATTTAAAGTGCCTGAAAAAGAAAATAATGTTAAGTGAAAATTAAATATGTGTATGTATTTATCTAAGGCCCACAGTGTTAGAGTTCTGAAAGAAATGGAAAAAATGTATTATCTTTGTACCTGTATTTCTCAAATGAGTGAAAATGTCAAAGAGAAAAATCAGATATCATAAGAAGAAAATATTATCTATGTATATGAGACCGAATGTTCTAAAGATATAGCACAAGTTTACATATAATTCGGACAAGATTCCCGTAGAAATATTGTTCACTATCTTATAAGCAATTATGGTGCTCTCTTCAAATAATCAACAATAAAAGTCCATCCCAAGTGATGAAATTAGAACAGAGAAAAATTTGCATGTACACAATGAGGATGGTTTACAGCACAGCATTTTTAATCTGTCTATAGAAAACATTTATATAAGCTCTAATAGAGGGATTATAGAAATACATTTTATATATAATTGTGTGTTTTATGTACTTACTGTGAAAATAGCACATTTATTTAGAGAGGAGTTTTATGCCCAGAGTTCTTGATGTTTTGAAATACATCCATTTCCTTCTCTTTCAGTAATTCTTACTAAGGAAAGCAAAAGTAACTATAGTTTTTCATTATTCCTCATCAAAGATGATTTTCTTTAGATTGATGAATCTCAGAGTCATCTAGAATGTTCACATCAGTAAAATATCCTAAAAAAATAAGTCTGTGCTTATTCAGCCTTACATTTGCCTGCACTCATGCCTCGTGCACATGGCCTGCCGCTCAATCCTCCACGTCCCCTCCTCATAGGTGCAGTGGCAAATGGTGCACTCATCAGTCTGCACTTCTCTGCCCGCAGGGATGACAGCTGTTTCTGCAAAGCAGTTTGGTCCTGAAATGCAGAAAAATTGGTTTATACCATGTGAGCATATGTGATGCATTTAATTAGGTAGTAACTTATGAATTGTTTAACTAATATGAATTACTCTAGATTCTTTAATGAAGGGCAGTAACAGACCGTGGAAAGTTACTATTTCAGTAAAATTAAGTACTTCTCCCTCTCTTTTTTTGGTGTGAGTTTTCAATCACACCCAACTGTGATCAAGGGTTCTGTGATCAAGGGTTATTTCTTGGCTTTCTACGCAGTGATCACTCCTTGTGGGACTCAGGGCCATCTGAGGTGCATGGAATCAAGACTAAATATGTTGCATGCAGGGTGCATGCTTTGCCCACTGTACTCTCTCCAGTCCCACCTCTGCCTTTTAATAAAATCAATATGATGTTATTTAAAATTATTAGAGTGACAGCACTGTGATTCTACGACAATTTCTGGACCTAACAATTATGCCAGATCTGCAATGATATGTTTAAGTTACTTTTAAGGAAAGTATTACATTCATATACACTCAAAAAAGAGGGCTTAAGTGGACAACTTAAAATTGACATAACTTCCACACCTCTTGTCAGTTTTTCACACACATTAAACCATTACCAGGATAACTCTTAAAATACTGGTTATGAGTTCCAACCGTTGAGCTTCAGACCCTTTATCAGCTTTGGTGAGTTTTGCTTTAAATGTAAACTCTCCAACCATGACGCTCAAGCCCACTGAGTTGCCTCCTGTACCCCGTGGCCAAGAAACCAGTACCTAAATTGTTTCCTTAATCTCTGAGAAGTAATAATTTCACAGTGTCATAGGAAAAATATAGATCCAGAAATCTGTTCTACTACTTAATAGTAAGATGATCTTGGATGTAGTTTCATGACTTTGAGCAATAAAAACATCATTTGGAAAATAATAATTGTATTATCATATAGAATCTCCTGAAAAGTAAACTAGAAAAGTACACTTCTTTGTCCTTAAGCTATTCAATGAAATACAGATGGTTTCCTATCATTCTTTCCTGAATTATCTTTCTATGTTTGCACAAGAAAAACTAATGAGTTTTTATTATTATATTTTTTACATCACTGTAGGACTGGACTTTTTTTAAATCCTTATAGTAGCTGTCACTGTCACTGTCACTGTCCTCCTGTTGTTCATCGATTTGCTCGAGCAAGCCCAGTAATGTCTCCATTTTGAGACTTGTTGTTACTGTATTTGGCATATTGAATACGTCACTGGTAGCTTGCCAGGCTTTGCCGTGCAGGCAAGATACTCTTGGTAGCTTTCCGGGCTCTCTGAGAGGGGCAGAGGAATCGAACCCGGCTCAGCCTGTATATATTTTAATTACTTATAGTAAAATTATCCTTGATATTCAATTTTTGCAAAAATTGTAAATGTTAGAGGTGAATGTTTTTCACTTTCAAATATAAAAAAAAATTTGAAAGTCAAGAGAGAATGAAAGTTTGAGAGCACTAATGAAATTAAAAGTTGGGGGGTTTTCAGGAGATCTGCTCCATGATTTGGAAGCCAGCAGCACATGCTGGGGGAAAAGGCAGCTCAGATAGAGAAGGGAACACCAAGTAAAGGATGTTTGGAGGACTCGCTCGGGATGAGAGATGAATGCTGAAAGTAGACTATAGACCGAACACGATGGCTACTCAATACCTCTATTGAAAACTATAACACCCTAAAGGAAAAAGAGAGCAAAAGAGAATGCCCTGCCAGAGAGGTGGGGTGGGGCAGGGGTGGGTGGGAGGGCTACTGGGATCATTGGTGGTAGAGGATGGGCACTGGTGGAGGGTTGGTACTCGATCATTGTATAACTGAAACCCAAGCACGAAAGTTTGATTCTACAACTGTACCTCATGGTGTTTCACTAATTAAAAAAAAAAGGTTGGTGAGTTTTATTTAAGTAACAGTAATTATTTATGGTTCCACTTTTATGGAGATAGAGAATCTATATTGAGAAAATCTATAATGAGTACACCGAAAATTAAGTTATGAGAAGACTCAACTTCAAACTCAGTTTGGTTCTTGCTGAAACACCGCAATTAATCACTCACAGATTCCTTCATTTCTGGATCAATGGGTGTCCTACTGACCTTGCACCCACCTAGTATTTGTCTCATTTCTAGGGACTGTGATTAATTTTGGAGAAGGATTTATCATCTTAGACTAAATGATACTGGAATTAGTCTTATTTCTAGGGAACTATGATTCATTCTGGTGAAGAAGGCTTTTATTGTCTGAGACTAGAAATTGAGTCTATTCAATATATTGGGAATCCCCTATTTCTATGCCTTCTTAGTTAAGCAAAAATTTTTAAACAAGTCATCTTATACAATCAGGATCATGATCATCCTGTTGTTCGTCAATTGCCTCAAGCAGGCACCAGTAACGTCTCCTTCGTCCTTGCCCTGAGATTAAAAAAGAGCCATATTAAAGGCTCTATCAGAATTAGGAAAATGAGACCCATCAATGTTACTGGTATTTGGCGTATTGGGTATGCCACAGGGAGTTTGCCACACTCTGCCTCATTGACAGGCTAAACTCGGTAGGTAGCCTGCCAGGTTGTCAAAGCAAGAATGAGATAATAAAGTGTCGAGCATGTGCTTCTGGGAGCTGGGTTTTATAGTCTCTGGGTCTTGGCCATTGATGGGATTACATGGCACTGGGGCGGGGGTAGTTGGTGGGTGTGACCCCCGCCTACTAGAAGATGGAGGATCTGGATGAAGGATGCTCAGCCCCAATCCAAGTAGGCTTGGAGATCTCAGCCCCGGGATCTGCATGCCTTTGTTCCTCTGCCGGTACCTTCATGCATGTAGAGAGTGAAGACCTCCGGAACCAGCCACAACCATGCAGAGACCACTCTCCATACGCAAGCCATCTTATAATTAAAATTTTTTTCTTTTACAATGAAAAATTTCAAATTTGGATTTTATTTGTTGTATCTTTTTGTCTTTTTCTAACTTCATAGATTTACAATTTTTCTCCTCCTACAATTAAATCTTTTATTGAAATCATGAACATATCTTTTTCTTTCTGTTACATTTATATAATGAGTTTTATAGTATAAAATATTATCACTAACAAATAATAAGTTTTCCTTGTAGTTCTTATGGTCATTATATTTTGACTAATATAAAATAGTTTTTTAAAATATTTTTCCAGTTTTTTTTTTTTGGTCCCGCAGGTCCTTATTTTGCGGGCCAAATGTCTCAGGGAGAGGGGTGGCCAGTGGAAGGTCCCTCACCATCACCTCCTCCCTTTAACCTGGCAAGCAGCGGGTGCTGCATACCCACCAGGATGCCAGAACCTCTGCCCAGGTGCTTGGGGACTGGGAACTGCAGAAGTAAAGTCTCTTGAGGCTTTCCTCTGCCAGCTCAGGATTGGGTGTGGCTCAGGGGTGGGGAGGGGACCCCAAGCCAAACCAGGAGTGCCCCCACAAAGCTGCCCTTCCTCACCAGATGTGCCCCAAGGCCTTTCTTCTTTAACTAAGGGCTGAGAAAATCTGTCCACTGGGAGAGAGTGGGGGCGGGAGGGTCTGGGTGTGCTGGGAGACAGAGGGGAGGGCTGGCTGGGAGAGGGTGTGTGTATGGGGGGCACTGAGAGAGGGGGGTGGGAAGAATGATAGAGGATGTAGGGGGAGAATGAGAGGAGGGCTGGGAAAGTGGGAGAGGTGTGGGGAGACTGAGACAGCAGGACTGTGGGGGCTGGGAGAGAGGAGTGAGGAGGGCTGGGAGAAAGGAAGTATGGGGGCAGGGAGAGAGAGGTTTTGGGGGACTTAGAGAAGATGTGGCGGGTTGGGAGAGAGGGGTGGGGACTGGAAGAGGAGTTTGGGGGACTGAGAGAGGCTTGTGGAGGCTGGGAGAGGGAGTGGGGGCTGGGAGAGTGGGTGGGGGTTAGGAGAGGGGTGGGGCCTGGGGGAGAAGAGAGGTGGTGGCTAGGAGAGGGGTGAGGGCTAGGAGAGAGAAGTGTGTGGGAGGACTGAGAGAGGGCCGGGAGAGAGTGGGGTCTGTGGGGGAGCAGGGAGAGAATGGGGGCAGGGTAGCCCACCTGCACTTGTGGTGGACTCTGGCAGCTTTGCAGATCTGGTGCAGGGGTCCTCAGAGGGACCCAGCTCACAAGTGCCTGCAGGCCTAGAAGCTCTTCAAGGGGGCCCAGGTCATCTCCCAGGCAGGGTCCAAGCCAGAAGATGCTCAAACCTTGGGCCTGCTGCCATGGCACGTGGCCATGGGCTGTCCAGCTCTTGGAGGAGCCCAAGTTGCTCCTCTGCCCTCTGCAAGAAGCAACTCAGGACTGGACAGCACAACCAGGCTGCACTAGACAGTTTCCAGGGGGCTGTGATAGACACAGTGTAGACATAAGATAGACACAGGGTAGACACAGGAGACATAGTACAGACACAGGGTAGAAACAGGGTAGACATAGAGAACACAGGGTAGACACAGGGTAGAAACAGGGTAGACATAGAGGACACAGGGTAGACTCAGTAGACACAGGGTAGACACAGAGTAGACACAGAGTAGACATAGGATAGACACAGGGTTGACAGTGTAGACACAGGGTTGACACAGGGTCCAAATCTAGTTATTACTCTTTTTGGATCATGACAGAATTTGTCCATGACCATGCTCTTAACTTATAGTTAAGTATTATGGCACTTTGGCCTGGCCCATTTTGATATCAGGGTAGCTCACAGCTTGCCCTGGGTCCATGCAGTCCCTCATTGGGATCCTGCTCTTAGGGATTTAGGAAGTAAGGGCAACTAAGGCATAAGTCGAGAGAGCAGATATACAGAAGATAATATTTTCTGGAGTCAATTAACTCCCAAGTTACAAAAGCATGTCTTTTTAACTGTCTTCATGTGTCCATACAAAAAGTAATTGCTCTGAAGTAACTAACCATGCAAAGGACATTAAGAAGAAGAGAAAAATAACATTTACAAGTCAGCAGAGTGTGATCAGGAGACAAAGGTAATTTACAGGTTAGAGGAGCAATCAACA